TGAATGAGTCGTGGGCGGGGCTCTGCTTCGCCTCAGCCGTTCCTGCGCCGCACATTGTCGCTTATGTTCCATTCATCCCAAATTCAACCTGGCTTTTCATCTTGTTCTAGTCGTGGGCGGGGCTCTGCTTCGCCTCAGCCGTTCCTGCGCCGCACATTGTCGCTTATGTTCCATTCATCCCAAATTCAACCTGGCTTTTCATCTTGTTCTACAGCTAATGCCCAATTTCGTGACATACAGATAGACAAATTAACCCTGGCAACTGCGGCTCGATGTGGGCACGCTGCATAGAAATAATTCTTCTGCGCAGGATTTTCAAAATTATTTCAATGGCACATTAATCAGGAAGGCGTTGTAGTACTTATGGTAATCATGGTTCTTGCATATCTTTCCTAATTGATGTTTTACACAAGGGGATCTTGAAAGTGATTTTTCAAAGGAAAGCTTGCTATTTTCGAATGTATAAGGCTGGCTTTTTGTTTTCCATTAGCTAGAGTGGTGATACAACTTTTCACAAAAAGAGATCTGGATCCGGCCCAACTGGCGAATTTCAGAATAGAAAATTTAAGTGTTTCCGGCTCGCTGCGATAATCCACCTTGGGCAAAACGGAGATTTACGCTTATTTGGCAGCGATTGGCAACAATTGAGACGTTTAAAGTCTCAACAGTTTCTGCTTTGAAATTCAATATTTTTGGTGCCGGTAGTTTGCTGCATTATGACGCATTTTTCGAAAATATTGAAAAAGGCGTGGTCCCACGTGGCAGACACGCAAAAATCGCATTGTAGCCAATGGGTCAAGCAGATTATACGTATACAGTTAAAAGAATAACTAGAGTTGCTGAGCGAATGTGAATAAATAGCACAGCATATATACAGAGCGCTACACACCCAGGAGGCCTGTTGACGAATTACCAAATCATTCGGACGATCGCAAGGTAGGATGAATAGAAGACGCTTGGGCAGTCTTTTGGGTGGATGTCAAGCTCGACTATGCGATCGCGACAGCGCTGTAATAACACTGTCGCAGTTGGACTTTGCAGTCGATAGCACAATAGCAAGTGAAGCGTGTAGCTATGATCCATACGGCTTGCATTTGCCGCCCCTTCGACCAACGAAGCTGAAGCGATACCGCGATCGCGATTTTGTCGCTGCCGGCACTGCACACTCGCCGAGTTTGACATCCACGTTACGGTGGCCCTAATACTACTGCAGAACTACAAGCGTGAAAAAATGATTCGCATCTAGTGAATATCCAGCATGAATCGTCAATATTTCATCTAACTATTCAACAACCTTGTATGTGTAGTTTTCCGGAGTAGCCATCATCAATTTACGGGTCGTTGTGCAGAAATTATAGAATCTGGAAAGGAAATCATTTCGAGTGCACGGTATATAAGCCACCTACTAGAAGTGTCTGTCGTCAAGAGTTAGAAGATATTAGGCTTGGCGAATCGAGCGATTCGCTAGCGTCCGCGGTCGCGTCGCGGCCAGCGAATCACTCAATTGGCTGGTACCGCAACGCGACCGCGGACGCTAGCGAATCGCTCGATTCGCAAAGTCTGACATCGGTGAGGTTTATCTCACTTTGTGGTTCCTTGAGGAGTTCCCCAAGACCCAAGCCCATCCAGAGTGACTTCGTGCCGATGTTGCAAACCGGACATTGCTACGACGAACGTGCCCACTTCAGTGAACTCTTGCGGAATAGTTGTGCAAATCAGAGAAGTACGCACCTGAAGAGAAGTTTATTTAGGGCACCAAAAAAATCGATTCGGAGTAACTTACTAAAGCAGCATCGCTAATAATGATATGTGCAGCTGTGGCGAAAGACTCAGCTTGCTGGCTGTACAACGGCCAATCTAGATGCATTCCGGCCACATCGTTAGTGACAAAAACTCGTGAAGGCGCCATTTCGCTAACTGCCAACGGTTTTTCTGCGAGGCGAGTAGTATGAGCACCTTGAAAGAAACCATTTATATTAATTCGGAAAAGGAATGGAACATGCTCACCATCGTCTTCTCCAGAGTATTCCAGCAGTTGTTTAAAGGACTTCACCCTGGATTCTCGATGAGGTAAACGACGAGGAGCAACAGCGTAATTGACCCTGGAATAATCAGGTCAATGAGTACAACTGTAACTCTCCAGAATATTGACAGACTAACGAAAAAATTTAACGAAGGAACCTATATCTATGTATTAGGTTGAGCAATAATTATTCGCCGTTTTTTTTCAGGCCCATGGTTCTTGTCCTGAGGGCATCACTCCTCAGATGTTAATATAATGGTGGTTCAACAGTTTCTCTTTCAACCAAAGCACACTTCATGAAAGACACTTTATTCTTTACTACGGTCATACTGAGCATCACACTTTTCCTAGACTGTCTGCAGACTAACATTTGATAAATTGACTTTCACCTTTCCTTGACATCAAGCTTGACCGACTTCACCCTGACCCTTCTCCCAAGCGGGTTTCCCACTTGTAGCTGGTGAGAGCTGTTCCTTGTGCGCCGGGCATTATTGCCTTCTCCGTTACAGGTCCTCACGCGCGAGGCGTCTCAGCCCAAGGATAGGTAGATGAGAACAGGCAAGCGGTTTCCGCCGCTCGAAGACTATTGCCGACAGAGTGAGCTACACAGGAACCCTGCTAGCCGCCTCCGAGCTGCTTAAGTACCCGTAGAGGCGTGGGGCGGAGCAAAGGGAAAAAACATCATGAATGAAGTCATGACAGTTCTTTGATTTTTTGCTAGCCATTATCAAAGGTTATGCAATCTCTTGAACATGATGTACCACACTTGTGTACTTACTTCACTATGGAGCTTACACACTAGCAAAAAAGATTGCCCCTGCTACATGAGTGCAAGTTGAGCTCGAAACCGAATGCTTCTGCATCTGCTCGTAGAATCAATGAAGCCTGGGATGAAGGCACGGTTGCAGAGAGGACTGTTCGAGAGCGTTTGTTGATTACGCATTTATTGTTGTTTTTGTTTGGTTGTTAATAAACTTATGAGTAAAATGAAAACGGCGGATAATTATTGCTCAAACTAATATTATAAGGCTGATGTCAGAGTCCGCGATCTGTCACGCGAATCGCAAGAATCGCAAGTGCCCCATTTGAACATTTGAAACACTGAATATGAAACAAGTAGAATCATGAACAGTCGTCATTCAGCCATCACCATCAAGCAGAAATGGCGGCGGGATTGGAGAGCACCTTGCAGTATTGATCGGGCACTTGTGATTTCTGTGATCCACCGCGCGATTCGTCCCAAATCGGCGACGGATTGCGGAATCTGATACAACTAGGAAGTAAAAGATGGAGTTCGATGAAACTGACTGCGCTGATCGAGCACCTCGTCTAGTGACTCCACGAAGCATGTGACGTTTCTCCACAATGGCTGGCTGCCATTCAGACCGACTAGAGGTTGCAGCAATCTGTCCTTGTTCTTCTTCGAAATCTTCATGTTCTTCTGAAAGGTGTTCCTATAGACAAGCAGAATCACTGATGTGATTTCGAGCACCATTAATAGGATACCGTCAAAATACGTGCCCCAGAATCGTTTAATTCGTGCCCGCCTAGTTTCATCCAAAAGAATGTTGCCGAATGTGACTGATCTGGGGCTAGAAATGAAGCACTGGCCCTTCTGTACAGAGCAACATGTAACATTGCTTGCCTGCATGCAGCATTTTTTTACACAGAAAATCAGACACCGTGTGCGGGCCATTTCCTGATTCTATGCACCAAAATAATTCAATCAGCAATGAGCGCTCGAATGATACGCTTACGTTTCTTTTTCAACTCTCTTGTTTCATTCATAATAGCTTTTCATTTCATTGTTCCAATGCTAATGCGCCTTAGAAAAAAAACATGAAAGACAGCGCTCCCAACTAATAAGCGAACAGAAAATAGATCCCTAAATGAGGGGCCAATTTGACTACAAGAAACAAATGGGCTGAAAAATTGACATAAAATGTGTGCGAACATGAATTACCATGAGTGGCCGGGTAACACTCGTCGTGCGAGGACTCGAATTCACCGTAGTGTTTCGTGGTGGGATCACCCTGGCACGATCGCGGATAAACTTTTGACTGGAAAGACTTCATGGAATGGGTGGGACCTTGACTTTGCGAATCCACGGATTCGCTAGCGGAATCGCTGGGTACGAGCGTTACATCAACGGATAGAACGATGTACCAGCGGATCGAACGATGTAAAAGCGACTCGACACTGTTTGAAAGTGGCGGACTCCCTCTCGTCTGCACGTTGACTACTCGCTACTTCCCCGAGCTCTCATGCCCTCGTGAGCCCGGGAAATAGCGAGGGCCAATTTTCAAATTCTCGCGGCTATGGGGCAGTCGCCTAGGTGTGTCGATGTCCATGACCGCATCCTCTTAGCGCCATAGTGAGAACTGTAATGCAGCTTTTAATGCATGTCAAGTGGCTCGTCCCACTCCTTGAGATGCCGGTTTACGGACTACTTGATTTTTCCTCAATGGTCCTGCCGCGATGGCTAGAGCACAGACGATTAGAGAACGGGTGAATGCCCTAGGACTAAGCCTTGGAGAGGAGAGGGACCCGCGAGAGAGCGCAGAGGCGGTTTAAAGGGCTGAGTTCAAGTAGTCCGTCGACCCTGAAATGCCTGAATTCCTCCTGGTTCACGGACATCTCGTCCTGCACTAACAGGCGTGAACCATCACCAAACGAAATTACAAACGCAGCGACTAGCTGAGTCGGTTGTGGCCACAGACTTGATGGAATCTTGTGTTTAGCCCGCAATGCAGTTTGCAATCAGTCGAAATCGAGTACGTGGTAAGAATCTACTGACCATGCACGCAATTGCATGACCATAGGATAGGATGGTCGGACAATCAGGGGAGACGTTGAGTTCTCCTCCTGAGGTCAGGTCACCAGAGTTGCGCGGTGACTGAAGCCTAAGGTTGCTTAGGTGTGAGCTCAGGCTTAGGCTTATGACTTACACGCTGGTTTATGTTAAAAGCCTACGGTTAGGCAGACTTAGTCCTAAGCTTATTCTGAGCAAATCAGAGGTATCCTTCTCTGAGGACCCGACCTCCGGAGGAGAACTGCAACGCACAAGACAATAAGACGGTTGACACATACATATCTGCCTCACACTCGGCTCTCCGACCAGAGGTCGAGCCGATTGAATGACTGAAAACCCTAGTCACGGCCGTTAACACCTGGCCCATCGTGAGAAGAACGATAGCAGAAACATCACTGACAAACATCACTGTACAGTTGGTTTCCCTGTTGTAGCCGTTTGACGTCCACTCAACTGAACCTGGCTCGGTTCCAAATCCCAAGGAGGAAGGTGACAGCCTAATTTGGATTAAGCCTTGTGGGAAGAGCGACTGTGGGATGGGCGAGCCAACTAAAATGTGGCAAAACCTTTAATGTTAAGATCACAATAGTTATGAGCTGCTGTTTAAGCGAAAGAAAGCATGCGGGAGCACCAAATAGAGGTGATTAAAGGAGCTGAGTTCACAAAACCTCTGTTTCATGCAGCCAGAAATCCACGTGGCACACGTGGCTAAATTCTCGATGAAAAGGTGACATCACGTGTGCTCAAAGATGTTCTTGAATCGATGCCACGTCAATTTCTGCAATTGCACAATTTCTGGTTATTTGAAGGCGAGGGTAATCCGGAGGTGAAACTGCCGCTTAGACCGCTTTCGTACTTTGCGCCTCTGCGTACAGTGCGGCCACGGTTAACACGCCCACTGGCGCATGAAGCGTACCTGGCGCACGATCGGCGTCTCTTAATTCAACAATTCACATTTTTTTATATTCTGTATATTTGCCGCATATCGTTGATAATAAAATATAAAGGATAAAGCATTTGCCGTTGATCAATCCCTTTTTGGGATGCGGCACGCATTCTACTTCCATTTGTACATTCGTAGTGGCGTTTGAATGCGATGTGGCCTATACAATGACTTGCGGGGCCAGCCGATGTACAAGTCAGTGTTTTTATCCTCCCAGACAAGTCTGGTACCAATTAACCGACCCCGGAGGGATGGAAGGCTTGGTTGGCCCGGGCGACTCACGACCCAGGATTTGATCCCCGGACCGCTCGCGTGGTAAGCGTGCCACTTGCCACTACACCACTTCCGCCCTAATAATATAATAAAAAAATTTGCGGAGATAATAGTGTAGTTTATATCGCACCAGCGAATCGAGCTGTGTACAAACGGATCGAACTATGTGCCAGCGGGTCGAAGGATGTACCAGGGACTCAACACTTCGAAAAGTGGCGGGATCAACGTTTAACACGTTGGCGACGATGTCGGTCAATGCTGACCGACAGGCAGTCTGTCACATGGGACGATGTCGGTCAATGGTGACCGACAGCTTGAAAGTAAGCAAACTTAGATGGAACCCGCGACTTTTCTATTTCAACGTTTACTTCAGTGTCCTAACTTACTACACTTGTCTGCGAATTATGATCTTTCTAATTCCTGGGAGTTTTATTCTGAATTAGTTATCAGTGGCAGAAACGCGCTGTCAATTGAATCACAACCACAAAGTTCCCACCGTCAGCAAACTGGAAATCTCACTAAAATTGTTCATATCGACCTTTACTAATTAGGTCACCGTCAGTAGATGTCCATTTCTAGCCTTAGGTTCCCATGATGGTCAAGTAGGCTCAGTCTTACTCATAGGCAGGACAAAAGTACCTATCCAGTCCATCAACTGCCAAATATTTCACAAACAGGTTTTTTGACCTTGAAATGACTCGTTTAAAATCACTTATTCGATCATGAAGAACAAGATAACAGTCAAACAAAAGCTCATTCCGTCAGGTACGCAAAGTTTTTTGCGTCATTCTTGAGTGAAAAATTCGTAGAAGATTTCAGATGTGATCAGGATACCAGTACCATCTAAAGGAAAGCTCATATTAATAATAAAAATGAAGAATGCGTGAAATTGCGCCTTCAGAACCTATTCTAACCTGAGGTTTGAAAATGCCAGGCGATGTCACTGAAATTTCACCCAGCATTCAGTAGTAACAACTTTTCCTTGTTTCTAAACGTGTCTGGAGTACTCTAGTCAAAGGCATTTTATTTTGTGCATTTCGAGATTTTACAGAGCTACAAAATAAGTTTTGCCCTGTTGTTACCGGCGCTTTGCATGCAAAAAACGCCTCGTCCCATGCGCGCGACAAGGAAAAAATCGCTCGTCGTCAACGTGTTAAACGAAGTTCACTTCAAAGGAACACACTAATTGAAAGTTGCGGGACTTCCTTTGAACGTTGGGCCCCACCACTTTCAAACAGTGTTGAGTTGCTGGTACACAGCTCGATTTGCTAGTGCAACTCGCATCCAGCGATTTGCAGAAACAGAGGGCGCATACATAGTCGGTCGTCCGACAGCAACGATCGTAACTGTCGCACAGCATTAGATGCGTATCGATCGTCACAAATGCGACACTTACGACCGCTGCTGTCGGACGACAGCAACGATCGTAAGTGTCGCACGATCAATACGCAGCTACTATTCCACACTACAGTGGGACTTTCGAAATACCATCACGCGCAGTCACGTGTTGTCTGGGTCTGCACTGGGGCCGTATGCTGAATGTTGGGTAGGGGCTGGGGTCCCCGACCCGCGATGCTGAATGTTGGGGCTCCCAGCAGAGTTTCGTCGCGGGACCTACAGGTGACTGGCCAGTCCTTTAATTCTGTGATGAAGTTTTTGTCTTTTCACTGTTCTAGATTACAGATTCGTCCACGCACACATTGCCATATTGAAGTAATACACCAATATGGCACGAAGTAATAGATTCTATTCACTGTTCTAGATTACAGATTCGTCCACGCACACATTGCCATATTGAAGTAATACACCAATATGGCACGAAGTAATAGAAGGCGCGAACCAAACTTCAGTCTAAAGTAGTGAATGGACAGACTGGCAAGATTACGGCAATACAGCTAGACGTACACGAACGCTCCAGTATGTGAAAGAATCAAAGGATAAACTAAAGCAATTACAACAATATAGCTGCATATACGTGGACAAATCTACAGTAAAACAGTAAAAAGGTGAAAACGTAATCGTAAAATCAAAGGACCGGTCAGTGGCCGCCCGGTCCCGCGACGAAACTCTGCTGGGAGCCCCAACATTCAGCATCGCGGGTCGGGGACCCCAGCCCCTACCCAACATTCAGCATACGGCCCTGGGGGGTGTGGGCTGAATGTTGGGGAGGGGATGGGGAAAGGTTGGGGAGGTTCGTCGCAGGACCCACTGGGCAACGGCCGCACCTTTGATTTTGTAGCTTTGTTTCCATTCTTTCATTGCTGTTTTTTGGATGAAGAAAGGTATTGACGAGCGAATATACAATCAGGAACAGTAAAAGA